ACTCATGTTCAATGGACTTTATCATGGTGAATTGTGAATTTGTTCATCATGAAATGTTACTCGCCAGTCAGGGCTCGACAGCGCAAGCATTTCATTCGCATTAGTGACTAAAAATAGATTTGCGAAAGTGATACGTTTTAGGGGTTTGTGTTCAAATAAAAAGTAGGTCCCTGTGGGTACTCAAGTCCCCATCAAGTCAAAATTAAAGTTTTTTTGGTTTTTAGTATGAATATGTTAGCCTTACTGTTATCTGTAAGGTAGTGTGCTCCAAAACAATGACACAATTTGCATTTAGAAGATTTAACCATTCAAAACTTATATGGCAATATGAATCAATGATTTTGATGACATCACTCTGCACTTCTTCTTCTCATTAGATTTTCTGTCCAATCAAATACTCTCTTAAAATCCGAAGCATCCCGCCCCCTACATTATAAATAGACTTTGAAGCTGCAGCTGAAATCAGTCATTTGTTCACACATTTACTATTTTCTACATGGTGAATGGCACATAGTGCACTATTTAGGGGATATGGAACTATTCAGACAGTGAGTGTAAATATGCTTTCCATTGGGGCAAATGGTTTCACATTACTGTCATGCGAACTGTGGCAGCGTACGAACAGTCTGCTGCTCCAATCCAGAGACACGATAGCACAGAGCGGATCATATGATCGAATCGGCTCAGACCCAAAACATATCGGACCGATTTGAATTCTGCCCAGAACTCTCTATTTTAAAGCGATATTGAGGAGATTAGGAGGGAACTGCTGCTTTACAGAGCTCAACGGATCTGGCTGAGCTGTGATATAAACGTAATGCTACTGGCTACTTTAAAAAAGGGGGAGGAGCTATAGTTGTTCTTTATTTATTTCATTACTTATTTCATACTGTATTTCACTCCTAAATTTTTGTAGGTGAAAAAAAAGTGTCAAGCCCCTGACAGTGTTGACTAAAAATTGATTATTTGCTATGAAATGAAGACCTTAACATCTCTTAAATCCTTAGATAATGTATGCGTGGTTCCAGTTATGAAGTCCTATATTGAATAGTTTGCTAACTAATGAACAGGCTCACGTGTGAAATATGCTGTTTCTTTGATCTGGTGTGTGCCTGCAAGCTCAGATTCCCTCTCTCATACGACTCTGTGTGTATCCTCTTTGTGTCCTGTGGATTATCGCATGTTACTTGGCCCAGACGGAATCTGAGGATTTTCCGTGTTGATTTACGGGGGGAATCTGTGGAATAGATTTGTTAAATGCAGCCGAAAGTGCTGTGCTTCTATTGGTACATAAAAACCCTTAGTGTGTGGGCCTGCCTGTTACTTGTTACGACATGGTGTGTGACCTGTTGGTTTTGTGTTTTCAGTGCAGAAAAGTAGTTAGCTGATTCGTGAGTAATATGTTGCCATAAGGGGAGTTTGTGTTGACAGAGCCGATAGATGTTGATAGAAAGACCAGTGGAAATTAAGTTTATAAAGCAGATAACTGGAGACACATGATGGGAGATCCGCGCATGGAAATTAATTGCCAGGAAGTTGGTGGTAATTTGAATTGCAAATGGACACCAACTTGTTCCCTGACTTGAATGATTAATATTTTATTGTTTTACTGAGTGAAAATGCCACAAGTGTTTTTCATCAGAAACAAATAGCACAAAGGAAGGAGGGGAAAAAAGAGAGAGATTGGTTTAACTGATAACGAGTTGCAAGGTGTTGAATATTGTTTCTGAACATTAATTCCAGTGTGTGAAGTTAGGCTGGGTAATATATTGCACATGAGACTCTAAGACAAACTTTTTTGTAATATCTTTTTCAGTTTGACTTGCAGATTTGGTAAATTTGTAAGATTGACATCTATAAATAACTGTCTATTTCAATGAATCGATTACAGAGATACTGTAATGTTCACCAGCTGGAGAGCCACCAGAGGGCACTCCACACAGACTATTATCACTCCCTCACAAACTACATTTCCCATAACTCACTGCCCGGACTCATCACTGATTGCATTCACCTGTATCTCATTACCCTGTTAGTCTCAGCCTATTTATACCTTGTTCACTCATTCACTGCAAAGTTGTTTATGTTGTTGCACTGCATTTCCAAGCGTTTTCCCTGGTTTTATATCTCTTGGTTTTTGGATTTCTTGCCTGTTTGGATTTGGATTTCTTGCCTGCTCTTTTGCCTCTGACTTCTGTCTGTTTTTGTTTGTTTGTTTGTTGGACTGCCTACCTGTGTTTTGACCTATTGCCTGTACGTATATTGGATTATGTGTCTGGATTGCCCTTTAATTAAAGCTGCAATTGGATCTCAACCTTCGTGTCTCAGAGCAGTTGGTGACTGATACAGTGAAATTTCTGCAACTGAAAATATTTGGCCAAAACAGTGAAAAGTTTTGGCTGAATTCGTTTAGGCTGAAACCGTGATGTTTAATTAGTGTTTTTCGATAACAAGTTCTGTCATTGTGTATTGCGTGCACACAACTTTAATAAGATGCGTCATAGATTATTAATATATACAAAAGTTGTAGCTATTGCTTTTATGAGTATTATTATATTATTTCATGGCATATACATTAGTAAAAATTCTTCCTTGTGTACAAGTCTTGGATATTTTTTAATACTTCTCAAATGACTTCATTTGAAATTATGCTTTCACCAATCAGGAAATCACTCTTTTAAATGGTTAGTTTATCTATATATATATGAATAAGCCAATTTGAGCCAAATTTTAGTCCAAATTTTCTGACGAGACTCGATCGCTTTATATGACGAACGAATTTAAATTAGGCTTTTATTCACTTGTAAGCATTCATCAATGCACACATCAGTTATAGTAAACAGAAGCTCAAGGATGTTCGCTTGATGTGCGAGAGAACCAATGAGGTTCATTCTCATATTACGCAGCACTTTTGAGCTTCTGCAAGAACCTCTGAGGTTCATTCTTGTGCATCAGGCAGGATTTGTTTGTTTACTAAACAATGTTTATATGTGAATAAAAGACTACATGAAATATATCTGATCACATAAAACGATTGAGTATTTTGAGAAAATTTGGGCTAAACTGCTTGATTCATATGGATTATGGCATCTCTTTATGAACTTTTTGAAGTGTCAAAGTGGTAGTTGCGTAGCTGCCAATGGTGAGTACAGAACTGGCTCAGATTTAAAATATCTTCATTTGTATTTTGAAGATGAACAAAAAGTCTTATGGGTTTTGAAACTATATGAAGGTGAGTAAATGACAAAAATTTCACTTTTGGGTGAACTAACCCTTTAAGCATTTTTAGAGCAAATGTATAAATATTAAGTTGTAATTTGACTGCATCATCCAGTCCTATTGTGTGGGTAGGAAATTGATGATTTGCCTCTGTACTTCTGAAAAGTTTTGAATTGACCTTTTCATTCTCCTAATGTTTTTTTTTTCTTCTCTCCTTCCCACAATACACTCTGTTTTTGCACTTTGTTCCTTTTTTTTCTCCGGCATGTACTCTCTCTCACTGTCTTTTTCAAATCGCCGCACAGTTTCCGGAAGGTTCCGCCGGGCCATGGTCTATCCTTTCAATCAGATGCTAATTAAGGGAAAGAAACGTCTCCGTCTCCCTCGCTCGCAGACGAAGGGACGTGCAGGTTGAGTGAGAAAGGGGAGAGAGGAGTGCAAGATGGTAAAAATGGAGAAAGGAATGAGAGATGAAAGGGTGATTAGGTCACTTCAGATTGAGAAAAGAGAAGATGAAACTTGTATTATTATTTTTTTTTTTAAAGTTTGGTTAAAATCAAAGGTCCCCCAGTCGACGTGTCTAGTAAATGTTCAACTTTTCATAACTTTGCAATCTGACCGCAGAAGATCTCAGTGTTCTCTGAGGTAAATTAAAAAGTTACCTACATGACGTCTTTTAATAAAGATGATTCTACCCTGCTCATGGCCATGAGGATCTTTAACCATGACCATGTGTTCTTTAATCATTTATAAATGTCATGCACAAAGCGAGAAATTTACTTTTTTGCTTTAATTGGTTATCAGCTTCTGTCGGACTGTTAATGACTTACTGTACTGTTAGACAAGTAGCTAGTTTGGTGTTTCTGGTCAGTTCATTAATGGCTGGGGTGTATCCAGCTAACGATTAAAGTGCCTTAATTAGCAGCAGGGATAGAGAAAATAAGGATTAGTCCTGAGGTTGTGTTTTATTTATTTATTTATTTTTTGATCTGAAGAAAAAAAGATTGAAAAGGTTTAAGGTTCAGAGGGTTGAGGGTAAAATGAACAAGAGAGCCAATAGAATGATGAATGTGCTTTTCATCTGGAAAAGCGAGGGAGGGCTGTTTCACACAAGGGGAAAAGAAGAAATATTTTTTTTCCTCCAGCATTATAAGCATGTTTCTTTGACAGATTTAAACTCTGTAGTTGCTGATGGTGCTGTAGAGATCTGGCTTTTACTCTGAAACCATTGGCAAATCTAGATCAACAAAATGGAGATCAAACGGCCCTCTTTTAGTGGTCTGTTTGATTCTGCATATTTTTGTGGTCCGTGCATGTTCAAGACATATGGTAGACCTGTTTGTCAATGTGCAAAATCAACAAATCAGGTGTTTTCTTTTTTTTACAAAGAACAGTCTGGAATTGTCTGTTTTTGATTTGCTGAAGGTGGATGTTTATGGTAAATCAGGTGTCCAATCTGTCCAATCTCTGACTTTAACACATTTATTTATAAAATATGTCTGATTTATTTATATACTGAAACTACTGACATTAATAATAGTGGTAATTGTAGCTTTTGTTAATAGTAATTATGTTCAAATGTATATAACAAATGTAAATCTAATTATTTATTTATAGGCAAATAAAAGTATTACTTTTCTCACAATAATTATTTCAATCTAGTGATGTAGCTCAGTAGCGGCCCAGCATAATTTCTAAGATCAAAGTTTAAAGCATTTCACTACAAGAGTTTTGATTATAAATAATCAATCTGTTTCTGCTCTCTGTTTTCTCTACTACAGGTTAAACTGAACGGTTCCCAGAAAAACACTTCAAGGTTCTGCCTGCATTCCCTCCATGTTCTCTGGGTTACGCTGAACACGAGTGTGTGCCCGGATCCTGGCGGCGGCTGTGAAGTACACATGCGTGCGTGTGCATGCAAGTGAGTAATCACGTGTGTGCGCTTTGTCGGGGACCTTCTGCGGTGGCTGGTGTAGTGACCCTCCCCCTGCCCCACCCCCCCGCTCAAAACTGGCGATGTCCAGGGTGCCGAGTCCGCCCCCTCCTGCTGAAATGACCAGCGGCCCTGTGGCCGAAAGCTGGTGTTACACACAGGTGAGTGTGTGCGTGCGTGTGTGTGTGTGCTTCTGGGTCTATGAATCTACAACAGGGGTGCTCGATTCTGCTGGTCCAACTTCATAGTGAGTTTCATGTCTAATTCAACACACCTGAACCTGTCAATCAAACTCTATGGGTTCAGTTCAAAACTACAGGCAGGTGTGTTGGAGCAAGACTGGAACTAAAGTGTGCAGGAAACTAAGGGTGCGTCTCAATTAGCTCCCTAGTTCAGCCTCATGTGGGGAAAGTTATGAAGCACGAAACATAGATTATGTGAGCCAAATCACTACACATAATGACACATAGATAGATGTCTTTAGAAATAAAATACATAGTTGTATTTAATATCAGCGTAAACACCTTTCCATAATGAAAATAATCCAGCTAACATTTCTAATTTTCGAATGGCTGAAATGTTGCCAAGCAAAGTATTTATTATGTACTTTAAATAACATTAACAAGTCATTTGAGAAAAATATCACTTCATCTGATGTTCATAAATTCCAGTAGTGATGTTGTACAATGAGGATGTTGTCATGTCGCCGGAAATAGTGTCCTAGTGTGTAGTGAGCCAGGGTCCTTAATGTTTTTACCAGTGCCCGAATTCATGTATTCATGATATACAACCTAGGAAGCTAGAGAGCTGATTGAGATGCACCCTAGATCTCCAGGTGCAGATCTGACCAAGACACATAATAAGCCTCATGTGATGATGATAATCCAATCAACAGGCCCTTTTTGGGATTGGCATATTTTTTTCTTTGCAAAATGTAATTAAAAGGAGTTTTGAAATGGTATTTTAAAGGTAAAAATTAACACACCCTTGGAGCACCCTTGTTGGTTTAAATCCCTGTGATTTTTATCTTGTTGAACATAAATGGAGATGTTTATCAGAATGTTCACATTGTACTTTTTTTCATTTAAAAAAATCATACAGTTCTTCAAAAAAGATGAAAACATAATAGCTTTAGAATCCATGTTTTAAAAGTCTTTATTCACTTATTATCTTATCCAAAGAAATGAACAGTTATGACTTCATTTGTATTTAATCGAAAAAAAGTAAACTTAAATACAGTCAATAATATAGATAGAATAATATGGAACTCATATTGAATATTGTGAACGATTGACGCAGATTTTTACTGAGGCAGTGAGATAAAAATAAAAGATGTTTTTGAAAGAAGTGTCTTATGGTCTGCTCTCTCCGACGCTGTATTTATTTGATCAAAAATACACCCCAAACAGTAATATTGTGAAATATTATTAGAATTAAAAATAGCTGTTTAAATTTATGTTAAAATGCAATTTATTCCTGTGATGCAAAGCTGAATTTTCAGCATCATCACTCTAGTCTTCAGAGTCACTTCAGAAATCATTCTAATATGGTTTGCTGTTAAAAAAAAACATTTTTTTTTATGAATAAAAAAGTATGGAATTTAGAAATCTAAAAGTCTTTACTTTCACTTCTGATCAATTTAATGCACCCTTGTTGAATAAAAAAGTATTCATTTCTTTAATAAACTTCTAAAAAATGATCTGTCAGTCTGTTTAACAATATGTAATGGCCATTATCATCTTTGTTTGAGTGTGTGTGACTTCACAAGGTCCTCCAGTGTGTTCAGAATCCCCATGACTAGTGAAACATGTTCCATTAATGCCTTCATTTATCTCGCCTTCATTCTCCCCCAGTGTTTTTGTTTGAGGTCTTTTTATTCCTTGTTCTCCCCATCCTGTTTGTTGTCAGAGCGCATTAAGATAAAAGGTGGTTTTGATGTGTCGCTTTTTGATGTCTTGGCCAACACTTGTGGATCTAATGTAGGAAAGGGTGGAGGGGGTAGATGAGTAAATGGAAGAATGAAGCATCTTGTCTGTTATCTTCTTGTGTGTTTGTGTTTGTCCAGATCAAAGTGGTTAAGTTCTCCTATATGTGGACCATCAACAACTTCAGCTTCTGCCGGGAGGAGATGGGCGAGGTCATCAAAAGCTCCACGTTCTCCTCAGGAGCCAATGACAAGCTCAAATGGTAGGAAGGAGCACACTTGGATTTGCATTGCTTAATTTTATTTATTTATTGGTCTGCTAATTTAAGATTTTTTGTTTTTGAACAGGTGTTTGCGAGTAAATCCAAAAGGTCTGGATGAAGAAAGTAAAGATTATCTGTCACTATATCTTCTCCTGGTCAGCTGTCCTAAGAGCGAGGTTCGGGCCAAGTTCAAGTTCTCCATCCTTAACGCCAAGGGCGAGGAAACCAAAGCTATGGGTAAGATATTGATTAAACTCTAAAGATTTAAACGTATATATGTATCTGGTGATGGACTGAGCAGTAAAATACTGTTAGACCATGGTGTGGTCGATATTTACTGCCTTTTTAGTGTTGGTTTGTGTCCAAGTTCCCAAAAAAGATACTTCATTTAATTTAAAAAAAACAAACAAACCTGTTACCTGAACCTCTAAGACTAGTCTTACAAATTAAACTTCGCATTTATTTTTCTTCGTGTGTTTTTTAAATCAGTTACTTAAAAACGTAGATTGGCCTATTTTGATACCGAAAAATAACCCTGACTGTCACTGACTAACTGCTCGTGGGTCATCTTAAAACGTAAGACACTGATAATGGCTATATTTATGCAACAGGCCTGGTTTTAATCTAGTCCCTGACTTAAATGCATGTTTGAGCTGTTTGAACTGAAAGCAATTAGCACTGACGGATGTTTATAAAAGCTACTTAATTGTCCTAAATGAGCTAAGGCTTAATCCTGGTTTAGTCTAAGTCTTGTCTGTGAAACCAGGCCAAAGTATTTTATTGTTTTTATTTTATATATAAACTATTTTTACACTGGTTTTCCAGCCAAAACAACTACAGTGAATTACAATTGCTTAGTGTGTTTTGTCATACCTCCCACCTCTAATCTAGTGTGTAATTTGAGCTCTTTAAAAAAGAAAAACTGTGTATAAGCAGAAGCAAATGTATTTCTTGCGTACTCATCACATTTACTGTTTTATGAAACAGTTATTTAATCAGAGTATTTTTTGCAAACTAGCTCAGTATCAATTTATTCCTTTAGGGAGCTGTAGATGCTACAGACGCGGATACCTGCGAAACGGAGTTAATCAGACTAGCACGCCTTTGAAAGTGTGAATGTTCTTTTATTTTCTGTGAAAGTAATAACGTACAATGTGAACCTTCCACCTTGTAATATTACATTTGAGGCAGGTGGCAGTGTTTTAATTGAGATTTTCTGGGGGGTGATGGCCTTAGGGCTTTGATTGAGTTACAGAGGTTTTGGCCTTCAGTGGAACTGAATTACACTTGCTCAGATGGAGCAACTTCATGGCTGATTTCAGTTTCTGCCTTGTTTTTAAAGCAAGTATTATTCATAGTTGGCAAGTTGGGGGTGTATATATTTCTTTAAGGTGATTTTGTTATTCACATAGTGGAAACATTTCTGAAATGCTAGCGTGGATGTTATAACCTGACGAATGCACATTTATAAATATACAAAGTTGCATTACAGTAACTACATGTACACTGTAAAAAAATATTGTTGGTTTAACTTAAAAAAGTAAGTAACCTGGTTGCCTTAACATTTTAAGTTGATTGAACTGGAAAAAGTGAGTTAATACAATGAAGGAGAGATTGATTTAATCATCAGAAACTCAAAATAATAAGTTATCTCAACTAAATAAATTATTTAAGTTGATTTGACAAAAGAAAAAATGTTGTGATAACAAATCTTGAAAATATTTTTTTACAGTGTATAAATAACTCAAGCCCAAATTTGGATGCCCTTCCAAACAATCTATTTTGATGCATATCTGTGCCGTAAAATAAAAAAAAGTGTTTTACGCTTGTACTTTGTTAGAACAAACAACTAATGTGTATAATTCAATATTTTTAAAGCTATGATAAAATTATCTCTCTAGAGCAAGAGTGTTGCGCATGTACATTTTTAAAAAAAAATTGGAAAGGGCGGGTCTTCTCTAAAATTCGGAAAGATCCTCTTTCCGGCAGCAGCATCAGCTAATCCAGCACAAATTAGTTCATAAAAGGTCACCGAAAAATTACAGGGTGAAGAGGTACTTGAAAAGTGCTGGAATTATTAAAAACTCGTACTCGTAAAAATGCTCCGATACCAACAACCGATAGGCCTACCAGGCAGCATGTCTATAACACATAACACATAAAGCTGTGTTCACACTACACGCGACCAAACGACACGATACCATTAATTTTCAATGGTGAGCGGGCGACTTCCGGCGACACGCGCGGTCTGACGACGCGACAAAGTTGAGAAATTTTTAACTTCATGCAAATGAAGAGCGATTTTCGCGAACGACAACCAATAGGAGTGAAATCAGTGGAGCGCGTCACTCTTCAGTGCTGAGTCTGACACATTCTCTGGTCTGACCGAGGCAAGTTGAAGGAGAAGCTCATTTTAGCAGTGAGAATCTGTCCTATAATTTATGATGTATATCTCCTTGTACATACAGTGGTATTCACCGAACTGATTCCGTGACTGAGTGACTCATACCAACTTGTGGAAAATGGGCATCCGGTGAACCCTTTAAGTTTCAAAAAGGATGCCAAGGCAACATAAAAGGGACTTATATGACTTGTGCACTATATTTTGGGTGTTTCAAAGCCATATAATTGATTTGTGTAACAAACAGACAAGTGTACTTTACTTGTGTGATTTCAGGCAAGGTGAGCTTAAGCTGATAAACCACCCCTGAATAATCCTTGCGTAGATTCTGGCAGTTTATATGAGCCTGTAGTAGATGTTTCACAAAAGATGGTGAGCTCCTTGCATTCTAGAGAGATGAAACTGATATGAGGGCAGCAGTCACACTCATCTTTTTGAAGAACCTCACATATGGCCAGATGAACAAGAGGGAAAGAAAGAGAAAAGGGTGCCAGATTGTGGTAGCGAGATGAGGTTGAACAACCCTGTCTCTCATTTTCCAATTTTCTCATTTTCTGCACCCTAATGGGTGAGAAGGCGCTCCTTGTGTTTTGTCCTGCACTCCCCCCGCTCCTCCATCCAACATTCTCTCCATTTAGCGCCCCTCCGGAATGTGGTGAGGGTGACGTGCTTGGGGCGTCCCCAGGGACAAAAAGCACCGACAGCCTCCTCACGGTGGATGGGGAGAGATTTTAAAGCGGGACGCAGGATGAAAATATGGCAGCAGAAATTCCTCTATCGGTTCTGGATCATTTAGAATCCAATTTAATCCTGCCCTCCTCCTGGGGGATAGTGAGATGAACGAGAGGGAAGGGGGGAGGAGGGGTGAAGCAGAAGTGGAGAGAGAAATAAAAACAAAGTAAAGTGCTTTAATTAAGAGGGCTACGAGAAGGCACTGGGACTCTGCAGCATGACTTGTGTTAGTCAGTCCTACGCATGACGACGAGTAAATAAAGGTGCAGAGGAAACATCGATGATCAGGTTTGACAGACACATGAAACCAGTTTCAGGATGACGCTTGTGTATGTAATCTGCTGTGATGGCTCTGCATTTTTTTTTTTTTTTTTTTTTTGAAGCAGGGGACTTGTTTGTCTTGGAAAAATATTTATTTATATTTCAGTCAAATTTCCAGATTAATTGTGAACCTTAATAATGAGAGCTCCCAAGGATGCGATCTAAGAACCTTATGACGTGAAGTCCGAGATGCTCAAACCCCCAGTCCCAAAAAAATCACTAAACTCCACTTTATAGCACAGAAGAAATAAAGTCCACAGAAGCAACTTATCACTTAAAATTAACATGTTAAAGGTGCAATGTGTAAAAATTGAGTATCTATTAACAGAAATGCAAAATGACATCCATAACTGTTTTCAGTGGTGTATCAAGAACCTGCTTAATAAACCGTAATGTTTTTATTACCTTAGAATTAGACATTTATATCTACATAACCGCTGACAGCCCCTTGAAGGTCGACATATTGTGACGTCATGTTTCTACCGTAGCCGTCAGCGAACAAACAGCGCTACAGAGCGTGTTTCGTCACTACCTTGAAAGAGAAGCAGCAGAAAGCTAGAAGCCATAGACACCGCGAGTAGTAACTTTTCCCTTGTCAGTGGTGTAAAATATGTAGTTGGACTGTTTCATGTAACTTAGCTCTTCTCCCTGGCTGTGTTATGGCTTTGCTATATGGGGATAAATGTGCTGGTTGCGTTCGTGAGACAGCTGATTAGTACTCTTGACCGTAAAACAGTATGTTACAGGAATCACCAACCCGTCGATCGCGGTCAACAAGTTGATCTTGGAAGCATGTTAAGTTGATCACGAAGAGTTTTCAAAATCAGAGAAAAAAAGCCTATTTTGTGTAGTAAATGGTGTTTAGAGCCCCTTACACACACCACTTTGATGCCGGGAAATTGCCAGAACGCATTATGTGTGAACGCAAACACCACCCGGGATTGATACCGGCATCGATGCCGGATTGGGGACCTAGTAACATTGCCGGAATCAGTCCCGGGATGCGTGCTGTGTAAACAAAAGCCAGGACCAATGCCATAAGGGGTGTGTCGTAAGCCGCGTTTCCACCGCAGGAACTATCCCCAGGAACTAGGAACATTGGGGTGGTACTCTGTGTGTTTACACCACAAGAACCAGGGTCTAAATGAAGTTCCGGGTAAAAAATTTCCCCCCCAGAAAGTCCCTGCTGGCGAGGTGGTACTTTTCAGAGTTCAGGAACTTTCGGGGTGGGACTTGTGCGCTGAACAATGCTGATTGGTTCTTACCACGCTATTCTTTCTGACCGATGGCGCGCGTTCGTCCCATCCATGACCGTGACGTCAATGTCTGCTGATAAATAACATCTACTTTTATATCTAGCATTACGAGCTTTCTGAATACGCTTTGGGTGCTCTTCTCTTTTCTGCCGTTTTTTTAATTACCTCATTAGTAAACCAATCGCACACAAAAGCAGCAAAGCTTGAATCTCCTTCATACAAAACTCAAAACAAATGCGCAGGCTAGGAAGAGCAGTCGCACGCAATCTTCCCGCCTCGGACCGGTACTTTATAGTACGCGGTGTAAACGCAGTAAGCAAGCGGTCTGGGGAAAAAAAAGTTCCTGTGAAAAATAGTTCCTGGTAATTGCAGTGGAAACGCGGCTATAGTGATGACGCTCATGCCATCGCGGGACTCTGTTGCTCTTAGAAGAAAGTTTGTGGTCGTCATCAACAAAGAAAGGACGAACAAATGTCTGCAAACTGGAACGAAGCACAGACCAGGAGCTCCTCACTATCTGCGTTGAT